AGACGTAAAAATCTTTCACGAAAGTGTTTGTTGTCTGATTTGTTTGCAGTCCAAACTGTTTGTTAACCAATCACACACTGTACTTATGATTATCACATTCATGCTACTACCAGAGTGCTTGCTATACATATTATATGACACCAGAATGACATTAAACATAATCAATGAATTACAGAACTATCTAAATGAGTTTTGTTTAGTAGTTTATAGCCTGTTTGGATAAATACACATTTTATTTCAACCCTGCATTAATTCTGATTTAGTTTTTTTATGGAAAATAATGTGTGTGTGTGTGTGTGTGTGTAGTAATATAATAATAGAAATAGATAAATAAACTCACGCCAGAATTGTATAGCTTCTTGATAACAAGCACTGAGTTCAGTGTTAACACAATTTTCTTATATCGCAAGTACTTTCGACGAGTATTATATCGTCGTCCTCAGGCGAAAAAGAACAAATTTGAAAAATAGAACTGCAGGGTGTTCCAAGTAGAAAACGGAAAATTTTCTTGTCAATTTCTAAATTATAACATTCGGTAATTCCGTTGGTCATGTGCAACAAGCTTTTGTGGGTGTTCGAATTATCTTAAATCCACACGACTAGCAGCGCATGCATTGAGGAGCAATCGTACTAATTGTACGACTCTTGTCGCATTTTGTTGTTTAAACGCTGGTATAAAGTAACATCATATTTCGGGCAAGTCAAGTGCTAGACATTCGTGAAGCGCTGATCTTCATCACTAAAAACAACTATTTCTGCTTCAATCAGAAAGTCTCTTACAGAAGTAAGGAGTTCCCATGGGCTCTCCTCTCTCAGCAGTATTAGCTGAGCTCGTTATGAGAGACGTAGAACAAAAAACTTTCAAAGCCCCACTTGCTATATGCTACCCATCACTATACTTATGCTATGTAGACGACATCCTACTAATATGGGAAAACTCAGAAGAGGAGTTTATGCAGCAACTTTCAAGCGTCCATGCCACGATCAATTTCACCTGGGAAAAGGAGCAGGATCAATCTGTAACATTTTTGGATATGCAGATACAGAAGTCACTAGAAGGGCCGCAGTTTACTGTGCATTATAAGTCAAACATGATCCCCTATATCATTCTGGCTTATGCATTTCAACCATCACGGTATGTCAATGCCGCCATAGCAGCTCTTATAAGAAGAGTGATGCTACTTCCTTCATCGCAAGCTCTAATAAAAGTTGAGTTGGAAATCATAAGAACGGCAGTACATCACGCTGGATTCATAGGTGCCATATTTACGCATGTACTATGTAGGGTAAAAGATTCCCTTTTCCCGTTTACCACACTATACAGCAAAAAAGAAATGTCTAGGGTACAATCAGCATTGCTGTACCTAGGAGCACTGTCCATACTTATTAGCCATATTTTCTGGCGATACAGCTTTACCCTTCCTTTAACTCCCCTACCCAGCCTACGCAGGAGCATATGCAATGATCGGGATAAAGTCAATGTTTTAGAAAAATCAGGAGTATACGCAGTGCAACTAAAAAAATCCAATAACGGGGATAATTGAGAAGTATATAGGGGCAATGACAAGAATGCTCACTTGCCGTATTGCAGAACATCAGGAGGATATAAACAAAGGAAGACAGACCACAGAGCTCGCCAGAAAAGTTCTACAGCAGAGCTATAACCCGTTTTGGTCAAAAACAGCATTGTTCAAGCACTGTAATAACAGAAGGACTACATTTATTTGGAAAGCGCTCCTCACAATGACCACAGATGCATGCAACATCCCCACCCTCGACTTGCTCGAAATATGGGTTACTTTATACTAGCGTTTAAACAACAAAATGCGACAAGAGTCGTACAATTAGTATGATTGCTCCTCAACACATGCGCTGCTAGTCGTGTGGATTTAAGATATTTTGAATGCCCACAAAAGCTTGTTGCATGTGACCAACGGAATTACCGAACGTTATAATTTAGAAATTGACAAGAAAATTTTCCGTTTTCTACTTGGAACACTCTTGGATAATATGTTTTTTCAAATTTGTTCTTTTTCGCCTGAGGACGATGATATAATACTTGTTGAAAATACTTGCATTATAAGAAAATTATGTTAATACTGAACTCAGTGCTTGTTATCAAGTAGCAATATAATAATATATATATATATAATATATTAAACAATGATGTTTGTAATCAGCCTACCTTTTCTATTCTTAACCATTAGATTGTCCTCTTCAATACATTAAAGTAAATTTATTAAATTAGTGCAGATATTTTGTAATTTTTAATTTTGTAAAATAAATTTTAGTATATCTATATTCTAAATTTTCTTCTATTTTTTAAAAGTATATATTAAATTTGTAAATGTTGTACTTTTAAGAAGATCTATCCATATTTACAAATTATAAATTTAAAATACTTTTTAAAATTTCAAGAGTTTAAATTAAAAAATTTTTCTGATTATTATTATTATAATTGTGTATATCATTAAATTTAACATCATTAGATAATATTGTTCTTTGCTTTATCTCATGTGACTGTGCAAACTTATTTTCTCAAATATATTCATACCATGATTACCAACCAAACTCACACTCAGCAGAAAAGTGTTTAGTGTTTAATGATGATTTTTAGTAATTATTATTCATACCATGTTTTAAGATTTGTGAGAAATGCAGTCATTACTATCTTAAGTTATATATATTTGTGAATTATTTTAGGCTCTAATCCTGTTTCATGTAGGATCTGATAATGGCATTCTATTTGTGTGTTTGATAATATTGAAGTCCCAAAAATCAAATCAAAGGTACAACTAATTATAAAATTCATAAATGATAGAGTTATGGAGGTCAAATCAGGTCAGCAACACATGTTGGTGACAAAACCCAGACAGGAAGAAAACTTTCTTACTTATTGTAAAACAAACGCAATGTGATGATAAATGGCAGAGGGGAATGTCGACAGAAAGAGAGAGCTTTGTCAAGATGCTCATGAACGAGTGTCGGGTCTGAACTATTGAGAAAAAGGGACACGTATGAAGTCATGTAAGCCGAACCTGTCAGGGGGGTAAATGGCCACAAGAACATCTGGTAGATCATTTTAGGTTAAAAAATGTCAGAGAAAAGGGCCATAACGGAGTAAAATACAAATGCAGATTTCAAAAGCTCCGTCAACACCTCTCAGACTTTTCTCAACCCAGATCAGTCTTGGGTTTTACCTAGAGACAAAAGAGTGACTAATCGGGGTAGGGGAGAGGGTGAACAGGACCAATCAAAAGGTTGAGATTCGAGGGAAAATTTTATAAAACCCCTGAGTCTCAAGATCAAGAGCGGTTTTCCTCCAGACAAGTGTTTCCATCAGTGGCCCAAGACCTCCATCCATCCACAGCATCTCCCATCAGAGTCACCTCCTGTGCAATGGACATGCAACTTTGGACATCAGCCTTCACCCATCCACCGACATTGGGATCTTCCCAGCGAAAAACAATCTAGATTAAATTTTCTGTGTCATTATTATGTAAGTTAATTTTATGACAAAAATAAATGGTTTTGTAAGACACTTGTTATCTTTGCCTCAGCCGCCACCACCTACATATGATTCACTCCTAGGTTTTCCTGACATGCAATTAACTTATTGTCCCTAAAAGTCTGCAACCTTACCATATTTTCAAGGTAGAACATTTGTATTATGCATTCACTTCAACATGAATGCTATACTGACTGTATAGTATCAGCATGTTTTATGACTGTAGTATACCATATATGGTAAAGTGTGGTAAATAATACCACATATGGTGCAATTATGAACTGTAGTTTATAACTACAGTAGAGCCTCGATTATCCGACTCAATTGGGGACTGGGGTTGGTTGGATAATTGAAAAGTCGGATAACCGAAAAGTATGAAAAATCCATTATTAGTGTAGTATATTATTATATCCCATGTAATTAGTATATTAGTATATCGCTATTAACCTACTTCACGTTGAATTTTCATCGATGTTAAGCCTAACAAAAATTTTTTTAAAATAATAATCGTCGCTATTGTATCGTTAAAAATTAGAAAATTAAGCTTCGTTAAAATACTGGCTCCCTTTCATGGTCGAATGAGTGTTGCCAGCTAAAACACGTAAAAATAATATTAAAGTAGCCAAGACATAGCCAAATATTGTAGTGCCACATCACTAGCGGACATTTGAAATTTGCCGACTAGGACGGTCGGTTAACCGAGGTGTCGGTTAATCAGGGTCGGATAATCGAGGCTCTACTGTATACTATACATATTCTTACTGATTTGCAATTAACATTGTAAAATGTTTGAAAACGTACATGGAGGATGATCAATGGAATCAAAATATAATGAGTCTTCTGATAAATGTAATCTTAAAACTATTTAGATATTTGTTTATAACTCTAGTAATTTTATTTAAATATTTGTAACAAATTTTTTCAACTTTGGAATTATTATTATTAGCTGCAAATTGTTAACTGTATATTTTTATTTATAGCAATAAGATAAATATTTGTATTTTTGACTATTATACTATTGGTTTTGCTATATGATTTTTAAAAATATGGCAGTTTATTTGATTATTTTTAAATTACATTTTATAAGAATTATATCTTAATATGATATTTCATTGAATGTTAATGTAGTAAAAGAAATTTTACAAGTTTTAATGTTAGTAACTTTTTTTATTGTTAATTCTATAACTTTTATAAATATCCAATGCTAATTTATCTTAACCATTATGTGATTTTATTAGACTGAAATAGACTGTTTTTTACGAGAGATTTTAATTTATAATTTAATATTTAAAACATTTATGAAACTTTGTTTTGCTTATCAAAATAACTATAAATTCATAAAATTTTTACTAACTACTCAGTATATCATAGTATATATGATAATGAATTATTTAATGGGACAGTAGTAGTAATTTTGAAATAAAAATTTTTCATAAAGTAAAACCCATATAAAGTATTATTAAACAATGAATAATTTATTATTTTTTTAAAGGTCCTGTAATGCCTCCTCCTAAGCCTCAAAGGAGTTTTCAACAAGGAGTACCTGTTTTACCAATCACACCTCCACCACCTGGTCCACCTCCATCCATTCCTTCTCCACGTTCTGTACCTTCATATCCCATGGGTGAGTGAAAAAATTTTTTAAAATTATTTTAATATTATAATTTTTAACTCAAAATTTTTATTTATTAATAAATAAAAATTTTGAATATACAGTAGTTATAATCAAAAGTAACTATAAAGTTTATGAACATATCAGCACTAATTAAAAGTTTGTGAAATTTATTCTCAAAAATAATGTAACAAATCTGAGTTCAAAAAACCTAATGATTGACCAAATAGTTATAAAATAGGAAATCCTCATACTGGAATTATGAGAATTATTATGTAAAATCTAGATTTATCTTTTAAAAGATACTTCAAAACTGGATGAGATTACAATAATAGCACTAATTAACACCAATAATCCAGTTAAAATGAACAAATTTATTATAAGAACAAATGTTTTTGACTGTCTTTTAACAGCCATCTTCAGGTTATGGAATGTTACATAGAATAAAATTCAAAAAACAAAATTTAAATAAAATTGAACTTGTTAAACAAGTACTGGTGGTCACACATGTAAAAGAATATCAAAGAAAAATAAAATAAAATTAAAATAAAATACAAAACAATATAACAGGTTAACGAGAATATGTTCCTAAAATACTGGCCCACAAAAATATTAAGTAAAGAAAATATTACTATAAGGACATGAGCTAGAAACAAATCCATGTAGCTAGTAAAGGTACTAGGATCCATGGAAGTTTTAGTTGAAAGGAGGCAGGTTAAGAAGAAACTTCTTTTATTTGTAATTAAAGGAAATGGACCCTGCCTGGTTGGTTAGTTCTGATTGTAAGTAGGTCTGGAAATCCACATAGATAAAAATCCAAATGTTACTCCAATTTTTAAAAAGGCCCATCATTCCTTTCATCATGAGGGAGATAGTAGAAATAGCTCTAGATAATTTACATAAGGACAGAATTTTTAAAACAGGTCTGTTTTTTGAAGTGGGAATCACCAATTGCTTGTGTTCAAAAAATAAATGGCAAAATTCTTATATGTGAGGACTATAAATGAAATGTAAATCAAGCCTCTGCACCAGACATCTGTCCTTTACCTACTATCACAGAATTTTAAACTTTCAAATGGAAGATATTTTTCAAAGTTACAGGATTACCAACAATTAAAAGCTGATAGGGAATCTTCAGCACCTATCTTCAGCAACCATAAACACTATTAAAGAGTTCTGTTCCTATAATACAACTCTAAAACCTTATACGATACAGCCAAATTTATTATCTCAATTCAGACGTTTTTGGACATCTTTAATGCTCTTTTTCAAGAATGAACTAACTATAATCGAACTAACTGAAATCGAATACTGGCTAATTTGTATAAACGATAACTGCATTTTGGAACGCGTATTTAAAAAATTCTTATTGCGCAGACTCGTGCCTTTGTTTACCGTTATAACTATATGCCATAAATACAAAACCAATAATATACATCAAACCATACATAGATGAACATAACATAATTAAACATGCTAAATATAAGCAAACACTCATGACCACTAAATGCCATCTTGCTGATACTATTAATTCGCTCCGTTATATTAGGCTTGATCTCCATGCTTCCGATATCCTACTTGCTTCTCTAAAGTTAATTGCTGTTCCTTCTTGATTACTTTTACAAATATGCCACGTCTCTGTGTATTTTAGATGCCGTTTTTCGTGAATTTTTTGTATTAACTTTGCCTTATCCCACTCCGCTGTGACTTCTGTAGGGTCTGCTAGGATGTATGTCGCTAGCCCTGTGGCTGGCTGCTCATTCCTTATGTTTCTTTTGTGCTCTATCATTCTTTCTTTGAGCGATCTTCTTGTAGCTCCAATATAAAATAGCTCTTTTTGCCGCCTTTTATCTGTTATTGGAACTCTGTATACTCCGGGAAGAAGGTGCAAGACAGAAATGAAGAGCTGCAATACATCAAAAATATAGCAAGGCAATTTGGGGTTAGCATTAAGCCTCTAACCAACAAAACAAAAACAGACACCAAAGAGAGGAATATAAGAAATAATAGGGAAGAGTTTGCACTAATAGAATACAGAGTTCAGTTAAACAATATATACAAAAGAATTGGAGCAACAACGAACAAGAAAATAATTTACAAAAGGAATTCAACAGTGTATCAAATGTTAAGAACAGACAAAGACGAGATAGACGGAAACCTTCTTCCCGGAGTATACAGAGTTCCAATAACAGATAAAAGGCGGCAAAAAGAGCTATTCTATATTGGGGCTACAAGAAGATCGCTCAAAGAAAGAATGATAGAGCACAAAAGAAACATAAGGAATGAGCAGCCAGCCACAGCGCTAGTTAGTTAGTTCGTTCTTGAAAAAGGGCATTAATGATGTCCGAAAACGTTTGAATTGGGATAATAAATTTGGCTGTATCGTATAAGGTGTTAGAGTGCTATTATTTTACTTTAATTCACCAGACTGATAGTAGAAGAACACTACTGCTTGCAGACAATTTATTGCTTTACAGTATCATAATAAATCTTTAAATATTTATGAATAAATATTAAAAAGATTATGTTGATTCTTGATTATTAAAAAAACCACAGAAAAAATAAAAGATTACTGAATAGAACAAAAACGAATAAAACTCTCAGGTTATATTGAATAGGGATGATGAATAAACCTAATCAAGATTAATAGCATATTTGTTATATAGTCAAAGTTTTAAAGAAAGTAAATTCCTTCACCTACATAAAGAAATCAAACATAGAAATTCATTTTTTAAAAACTGTTTATTTCAAAACTAATTTTGAAATGGAAAGAATTTGCTAACATTTTTTGTTTTCTATTTTATAATCAAGAAATAAATAAAAATGCAATAAAGAAGGTAAAATTCAAACATCCAATGGCATTAATTAACAACAAATGTTTTTACAGTCTTAACTGACCATGTTCAGGTTCTACAATGCAAAAAATTTAAAACACAAGATGCAGGATGGAATAAAATACAACTATAAACTAAAGCCACATAAACAAATTTTATCAAACACTTGCATAGCTTTATATTTTAAACTGTTTGCATTCTAGAACCCAAAAACACCAATTTAAAATGATTGAAAATATTTGTTTGTTAAAACTTTGCAGAATTAAAAAAAAAAGGGTCTTGTTTGAATTTACTTCATAATGTTTATGTTTGAAATGAAGGTAAGAAAACTTCCCATAAATTTTTCTCTTACAATTTTAGACCTTTGATTTTTATTTGTTTTTTTTTCTTATATTCTACATATACATAATTTATTTGTAAATATTCAAGAAAATTGAAATTGTGCAAATAATGATAGCAGTGTCATTATTGAACTGCAACTGAAAGTTTCTGTAGATTTATTTTTGCTTAAAAACGAAATGCAAACTACTTTATTTTAGTGACAATGTTATAAAATGATCCATTAGTCATTGTAAATAGAAAAATCTAAAGTAANGCTTGATCTCCATGCTTCCGATATTCTACTTGCTTCTCTAAAGTTAATTGCTGTTCCTTCTTGATTACTTTTACAAATATGCCACGTCTCTGTGTATTTTAGATGCCATTTTTCGTGAATTTTTTGTATTAACTTTGCCTTATCCCACTCCGCTGTGACTTCTGTAGGGTCTGCTAGGATGTATGTCGCTAGCGCTGTGGCTGGCTGCTCATTCCTTATGTTTCTTTTGTGCTCTATCATTCTTTCTTTGAGCGATCTTCTTGTAGCTCCAATATAAAATAGCTCTTTTTGCCGCCTTTTATCTGTTATTGGAACTCTGTATACTCCGGGAAGAAGGTGCAAGACAGAAATGAAGAGCTGCAATACATCAAAAATGTAGCAAGGCAATCTGGGGTTAACATTAAGCCTCTAAACAACAAAACAAAAACAGACAGCAAAGAGCAGAATATAAGTAATAATAGGGAAGAGTTTACACTGATAGAATACCGAGCTCAGTTAAACAATATATACAAAAGAATTGGAGCAGCAACAAACAAGAAAATAATTTACAAAAGGAATTCAACAGTGTATCAAATGTTAAGAACAGACAAAGACNACTGTTCTTATTATTTGGACTTATTGTACTGGTGTCTGGTTTTAGTGAATTGAGGAAAACTTAGCTAATAAAATAAATTTAATACCAGAGAAAATGGACTCAACTAATAAATATTTATGTTATGGAAATAATAAAAAACAGGAAACAACAGAGGAAAAAAGTATAATATATTCATTAGATTGCAGTTGTGGACAAAGAAAAACATGTATAGGAAGTAGAAACAAAAAAAAGTTAAAAATTCATTTAAAGGAACACATTAGAGCCATCAAAGGAAATTATGCAAATTTGGCAATTACTGAACACTGCAATGAAAAAGGGTGTGATATAGATTTGAATATGGTTAAAATAAAGAAGAAAGAAATAAATAATTTTAAAAGACAACTATATGAACATATTTACATAAAAAGTCAAAACAATAGAATCAACAATAACTTGGGAAGAGAAATCCACTAATCATAGAACAATATTATCAACAGGAAGAGTGACAGTTGGAGGAATTTATAAAGGAAATTATCTTAACGATAAGTTAATTATACAAGCAACAGCAAGTGAAGGATATATAAGTTTAGGAAGATATTTTAACAACCTATTTTAAAAAATGTAAAACCTTTTTAANTACCTCATTTCAATCAATAAAACGTGATTGACTGTTATTTGTGTTGTTGTATTGTCATGTGTTTCTCATCCTTTTTTTCACACTGGTATATATACTATCCCCATGATGTATCACAGAGCCAACTGAAACTTCAAATACATGGATGCTACAGGCCAATCTTCAAACAACCACCTCAAAGAACATTGGACTTCCATCGTGAAAGAGCTTGCCAACACTGAATTAGCAATGTTTGCTTCCAAGCCTGACATAGATATAAAGTACATATCAACTAAGTACACACATAGCATCTCCCTCACAGAACAGCTTAGATATTTAGAACAATTAGAAATTTACAAAGCCATGAGAAATAATACTGCTATCAACTTTAGAGATGCAGACTCCTTCCTCCCTGTGTGAAAGACATCTATGAAGTTTAATCTTACAACCGTCTCCCTTCTCTATCTTACATCACTGCTCACATATGAATGGCAATCACCTCTTCTGAGTAACTTTTCTGTTTGAACTGTTTGTTTTAACAACTGCATTTGAACTGAAAAGGTCAGTTAGCCTAATGATGTCCATTAAAAATGGATGAAAATGTTTGTTGTTTTATAGTTTCTTCTTGCTGGATATTGATTATATGTGCAGTGTTTATTAACGTACTTCTAGTTTTGAATAGTTGAAATTATATTGTTATTTAACTACTTCAGTGAACATGTGTAATGACTGTAATAAGATTAATTATATTTATTTGAATAACTAGAAGAATATATCAAATTATTTATTTATATACAGAGAGACGCCATGAACCTCAAGGAGCTTATCTTGCTCCCCCAGATCGTATTTATCCCACATCTGGACAATCACCATACCAACCATCTCCAGAACATCGTTATGAGCATTCTTATCATTCTTCACCAGACAGAAGTAATCATGATCTTGGTTATTTATCTTCCCCTGAACATCGTTACGATCATCAGCAATCATTTCCAATATATGGCAATTCTTCATTTGAAGAGCAGAGTTATTATGGAGAAAGGATGTATGGATCAAGATCAGGAAGTGTCACACCTGTTGTAGATGAACAAACAAGGTAATTAAGTTAGTATAATTAAATATTGAACTACTGCTATTTGAATTACATTTTAAAATAGGTATAAATAATTTGAGATTAAACAACTTTTTATTAAATTGGAAATTTATTTTTATGTTAAATATTTTGAAGATACTTTATCTTTATTATGTATTAAAATAAAATAAAATAACTTACTGGAATATAAACACTTAAAATAATCAAACACCTTAGTATTTCTAGCAACAAAGTATTTAATAAAAGTAATAACGTTTTCAACTATTTTTAATAGTCTTTTTCAGTTAAACCACTTTAAAACAAGAACAAATGTAAAATAGAACGCAAGCAATACAATGGTTTAAAAATTTGAAATTAATTACAACAAAATAAAAATAAAATAAAATGTAAAAACAAAATTAAATTACAATAAAGTATTAAGAAAATTAATTGTTGTGGTAAAAAGATTTCCATGCAAAGGATAGACTTTCTGTATCTCTATGGTTGATGCATCGTTTGTCAATATGGGCCTTGTAAATTTCAAGTTTTTTAATATGTTTAAGTACTTGTTTGTTGGTGGCAGTCCTAATTATGGATGCTTTGTCCCAATGTATATTAATATCTTGATGTTTAGCGAAGGCTGCAAGGACAGTATTGTCCAAGTTTTTAATAATGGAATACTTATGCTCTTTAAGCCTCTGCTTTAAGTCTCATAATGGCATTTTAGAGCTTGCACACCTGATTTGTTATACTTCGTTTTTTGTATTTGAAGGGAACACATATTTACAAGAAAGAGGGGTTACAATAGGGAGCCCGATATCCTTGTTTTTATGTGAACTAGTATTACGAAGATTAGAAAGTAATGTACTGCCCATATTTATAAATGACATACTTGTATATGCAAGATATGTTGATGATGTTTTTATCATTTGGAGGAATAGTAATAGCACTCAATGTTTCCTTAACAAAATTAATAACAACCCATATGGTTTGACTTTATCAATGGAACAAAAAAGTGACTTTAACGTAAATTTTCTGGATCTGTCCATCACTTGTAAATATGGTGAAATTTGGACAGATATTTATTGAAAGCCTAGCTATCTACCTATTATTATACCGAAGAATTCCTTTGATCCTCAGAATTTTAAGAATGCAGCCTTTCGATCATGGATAAAGCGGGCCTATACCCACTGTACGAGTATGTTTGACACACATAGAGAATTAAATTATATACGTACAATAGCTGTACAACAGGGATATTGTATAAGTGAAATTAATGCTCTTATTGCTAAATATTGTAATCAAACAAATAAGCAACCTACAACTAAGAACCAAGGACCAAGAGTAGTTCTCAACTATATACCTTTCCTACACTCGATGATTAAAAAATTATCTCACAAGAATAATTTAAGAATTATTTATCCTCATAATCCTACGATTTATAGAATTCTATGAAATGATAAGAAGAAAGGAAACCGTAACAAAGGAGTGTATTCTATTCCTTTAAGTGACCGTCGTTTTAATTCAGATCTTGTTTATGTTGGTGCCACTATGAGACTTAAAACAGAGGCTTAAAGAGCATAAGTATTCCATTACTAAAAACTTGGACAGTACCGTCCTTGCAGCCTTCGCTAAACATCAAGATATTAATGTACATTGGGACAAAGCATCCATAATTAGGACTGCCACCAACAAACAAGTACTTAAACATATTAAAAAACTTGAAATTTACAAGACCCATATTGACAAAGGATGCATCAACCATAGAGATGCAGAAAGTCTGTCCTTTGCATGGAAATCTTTTTACCACGACGATTAATTTTCTTAATATTTTATTGTAATTTAATTTTGTTTTTACGTTTTATTTTATTTTTATTTTGTTGTAATTAATTTCAAAATTTTAAACNGCTCTTCATTTCTGTCTTGCACCTTCTTCCCGGAGTATACAGAGTTCCAATAACAGATAAAAGGCGGCAAAAAGAGCTATTTTATATTGGAGCTACAAGAAGATCGCTCAAAGAAAGAATGATAGAGCACAAAAGAAACATAAGGAATGAGCAGCCAGCCACAGGGCTAGCGACATACATCCTAGCAGACCCTACAGAAGTCACAGCGGAGTGGGATAAGGCAAAGTTAATACAAAAAATTCACGAAAAATGGCATCTAAAATACACAGAGACGTGGCATATTTGTAAAAGTAATCAAGAAGGAACAGCAATTAACTTTAGAGAAGCAAGTAGGATATCGGAAGCATGGAGATCAAGCCTAATATAACGGAGCGAATTAATAGTATCAGCAAGATGGCATTTAGTGGTCATGAGTGTTTGCTTATATTTAGCATGTTTAATTATGTTATGTTCATCTATGTATGGTTTGATGTATATTATTGGTTTTGTATTTATGGCATATAGTTATAACGGTAAACAAAGGCACGAGTCTGCGCAATAAGAATTTTTTAAATACGCGCTCCAAAATGCAGTTATCGTTTATACAAATTAGCCAGTATTCGATTTCAGTTAGTTAGATTATAGTTAGTTCATTCTTGAAAAAGAGCATTAAAGATGTCCAAAAACGTCTGAATTGAGATAATAAATTTGGCTGTATCGTATAAGGTTTTAGAGTTGTATTATTTGTTAATAAATACAGTCTACGAGGAAAGAGAAGTTCCTATTTTATATATAATTATACAAAAACATGGCGGACAGCCACACCATATTGGAGGTGTACATCTGGACAGTCTTTAGCATTGTGGAGGAGAGTAAAAACCAAGACACTTCTGAAAGCTAACCAAAAGTTATTTCTGGCAATCTCCTTTTACAGGATAGTCAGTCTCTTGTTGTATGTAACAGTTTTGTATACAATGTTTCAAGAGCAACTATTAGGTGTGAAGGAGGAGGCAGAGGAATGACGATAAATTAGACCTTTGATGGTATTTGAAGTTTAGCCATGTTGTCTGGCATACTGGGTAACAGTTAGGCTATGTCCTACATGGCAGTGTCCAGTGACCATGGGTGTGAACACACTTCCAAGCAGAGCAGACAAACCGGTTCAAGCAAATGTGTGCATCCAGATGAACCACGTTTAGTGACCACTAGCTGACGCTTCTACTTGCACATGCAGGAAGCAGCTACCAAGCTAGTTTGATCACCAATTCCACTGCTTGCACTTCCAATGAAGAAAATGGCTGATTTTGAAGATGAACATAAACTGAATAACAAATAAATTGTGTATATATGTTGTATGTACTTTAATTAATAATCTTTTATGTAATTTAATAATTTCTGATTTTGTTAAAAAAAAACTTTTTTTAACTTATCTATAAAGATTCTTTATATTTGTTGTGTATTTAGTTAGTGATAACAATTAACCGTCAAATTTACTGTTTTAATACTTGTCATATTTTCCATAGTAGGATTTGATGAAGTCTTCTCACTGCCATCTTGTAAACAACACACATCCACTCTGGACAACAGTGATAGTGATCACTGTTAGATCTAGTGATAACAATTAACCGTCAAATTTACTGTTTTAATACTTGTCATATTTTCCATAGTAGGATTTGATGAAGTCTTCTCACTGCCATCTTGTAAACAACACACATCCACTCTGGACAACAGTGATAGTGATCACTGTTAGATCTAGTGATAACAATTAACCGTCAAATTTACTGTTTTAATACTTGTCATATTTTCCATAGTAGGATTTGATGAAGTCTTCTCACTGCCATCTTGTAAACAACACACATCCACTCTGGACAGAAGTCACTTGTGAGTTGGAAGTGCATACAAAGATTCTTTCTGCCCATGGTCACTGGACGCTGCCACTTAGGACGTAGCCTTAGAAGTTCCTACTGTTGTCTTGAGTATCAGAAATATTATTCAATTAGAAATTTACAAAGCTGCAAGAAATAACATGGCTATCAACTTTACAGATAGACTGCTTCCCCCTACATGGAAGTCGATCTACTTATCATGGTGTTTAATCTTACAACCCCTCTCCTCCCTTGCTCTCTTACATCACCTTTCTTTTAACATATGAACAGCAATATCCTCTTCTGATGTTGTTCGAACTTTTCTGTTTGAACAACTCCATTCAAGCTGTGGAGGTCAGCCTGATGATGCCCATTAAAAACAGATGTAAACATTTGTTTTCTTGTAGTTTCTTCTTGATGGATATTGGTTATATGTGCAGTGTTTATTAATAATATCCTTTAACATTCACTTCATGAATATTTCTTATTTATTGTTAATATTTTTATTTCCAAAATAATATTATAGTAAGTAATGAATGCACAAAATTCTGGATAATATTCAAAACACTTACACAATCAAAAATCCAGATTGTGAAATAATGGTAGAGAAAATAAACATTTTCAATTGCTTTTAGCAATCATTCTCAAGTTAAAGAATTTATTCGGAAACATAGAATAGAACATATGATGGAATTTAACCCATTCAAGGCTAAGTTTTACGATACCTGCTGTAAAACTTGGTAGCCAAAGACCAAGTTTTTTCTATGTATTATGTCTTAACTACTATGAAAAAGAACAATTCTATGACTCTTTACAATTGTCTCTATTGCACTTCTTCGTGTAAGATCTGGCCAGAACAAAAGACGGGTTCCTTTGTTAGCTATTTTTTATATTCCCTACCCCGCTGCAAAAGTGTTGCTAATCATACAAACCCTGAGGCAATAGTGTTGCCAATACATAACAATTACTCCCCTCTAAAAGTGTTACAAAATCTTCAAGATATTTTGGTTGACAACAAACATGTTTGTTTTTTTCCGAGTATTAATTTCTTCNTGCCGACATAAACTATTAGTATAACACTTACGTGCCGTGGCATAACAGGAGTTGCGTTCCAGATACGGAAATTTTTCGAACTTTTGGGGAAAGGCCTTATCCGCTAGCACTTTCAGTAGTGTAAAACTACCATTATCAGCGGTACATAGAATACGATAGTTTAAGCTTTCCAAACGATATTCCAGCAGTTTTTCAAATTTCAACATCGAATATTTCGAAT